GCCGCCGCCGCCGCCCGGCATGCCGCCGCCACGCGCGGCGCGCGTCAGCAGCCAGTAGGCCCAGCCCAGCAGCAGGACCGTCGGGGCCAGCCCCAGCAGCGTGCCGAGCACGCTGACCTCCGAAACGTATTTGACCGGCACCAGCCCCTCCGGCGACAGCCCCAGGTCGCGCTGCGCCTCGTCCATTTTCCGCTCGAAGCTGTCGACGCTGCCGATAACAAACGTGTACTTCGGGGCCTGCGGCGCGCTGTCCACGGACGCCGGGGCGCCACCACCAATAGTGACCCCCGAGTCGGTCGCGCCGCCGACGCGGGCGCTATCTGCGACGCCGGCTGATGCAGGTGATGGCTTCAGGTAGACGCGCGCGACGCTGCTGTTTACGACCTCCAGGCGCGCTACGGCGCCGCGCGCGAGGAGCTGCGACTTGAACTCCTGGAATGAGATCTCCTGGGGCCGGGGGGCGCCGCCCGCCAGGGCCATGTACAAGCTGGAGAGGGCGGCGACGCCGAAAGAGAACGCGAGGCTCTGCTGCAGCGACTGCTGGTTGCCGCTGCCGCCAGGGCCGCCGCCCTGCTCGCCGCCGCCGGGGGGCTTGCCCTCTGATGCGGGCTTGGGGCCGCCTGAGGGGGTTTTGGAGCCCTTGGGGTAGAAATTCCGAAAGCCTGCGAGGAGGGGTGTAACCAAGTGCGGGCGCGGTGCGTGCAGTTCGAAGCCTATGCTGGGCGCTACTAACTCTGAATGCCGCCGTGCAGCGGGAACGACAGCCCCTCCCTCGAAGCAGCGTTGCAGCCGCCGACGCCCGTTATCAATAAAACAGCTGTGTGGGCGGTCACAGTTGAGGAAGGGAGGAAAGTGGCCGCCTCTGCTGTGCTACGGCCCGATGCTGTGTTGACCGAAAGTGCCGCACCCTTTGGAGCATCGCTGGAGAAGGCACGCCCTCCCTTGCTCATGCGCCAGCGCATCGCCGCCTGCGCATCGGTTTTTTGATTGCATGTAAACAGTAAGCGTATGAGCGGGGGAGCATGAGAGCAGCTTACATACTTGCGATGGGCGGGCCGGTCGACATCACCGCTCGCGAACCGCTTGAGCTGCACAATAATACGGCGCGCTCCGTGGCACCTGCAGCGCCCTCACCTGTGCCGCCCCATTCCCGTCCCAAGGTCTCGACAAGCTTGATGCTATGAGTTGCGAGGACAGGCCAGCGCCGAAAAACGTCCTCACAGGTCCCGTTGCGTGACGACTAGTTGCGATCTGGTCTGCTGCTTGTCGCAGCAGCAGCCATCGCCCAAGCCCATATGTCACTCCCCTATACATAGCGACTCGTTACTATGATTCATGCGGTCTGGAAGCCAGGAATTGATGAAAACGATGGAAAGCGACGCAGCAGGGACACACTTGCTACTGATAAATCGCATCACTACAATTTCAACACTTGCATGCAGCAGAACGCGCTGTAACTTCGTCCCGATGCCCCAACGACGAGCAAGGAAGCTGCTCGCAGGGTCCCGCACGACATGAGGCCTTCTCGGAGTTCTACACAGGAGTAGCAGGGGCGCAAACCTATTTTTGGATATCTATTAGCCACATACCAGGCACAAACGTCCGTAAGCTGCTGTTCAGCACGGGAAACATGCCACTTGCGGATGCGCGTTGCGCTCCAGACGGCTATGCTGAAGAGCTTCAGGCCATTGAGGACTACAGAAGATTTGCCGTGCTTACGATTCAGCGCTTCTGGCGAGGCCATGCAGTTAGGCAGCGGCAGCGGCGCCAGGTGTGCCAGCTGCTGCTCTCGCCGCTGGTGGAGGTGCTGCTCGCGCTGCTGCCATTTGGACCCGTTTGCGTGTAGAAAACCTGCATGCGTAACATCCTCGATAAAATTGCGCTTTACCTTCATCATATGCAGAGGGACGAAGCGGCCTCGCACGCAAATGCAGACGCCGCTGCCAGTCGAAAGGCTGCACAGCTGTACCGCGCCGCTCGGGCCATCCAGGACGCATGGCGAGGCCGCGCCAACCGCCGGATTTTCCGCTATTACCAGCAGCTGTTGGCATTCAGGTGATGGATTGGAATGTTCGCCTGCTGCCCATTTGGACAGAGACAGGCAGCTGTTCTTGATAAGCAGCAACTGCAACTGGCAGCCGCAATTCGGCCCACTCGCCGCCACACAGCCCCCACAATACCAAGCTCCCCACCCGCCGTGCTCAGGGGCGGTGACGACCCCCGGGCGCTGCTGCGGGCCATCAACCCGCGAGAGGCGGCTCTGCTGGATGCGGCGGCCGGCGCGCACGTGAGGTTCAGGCTAGGGGGCGCGAGCTTCCCGCCACAGGTGCTGTACAAGATCTTCACACACAGGCCGGTGGCAGGTGGGCTGCTACTGTGCAATGGTGCAACGTCAAGCGCCGTGCCTCCCGCCGCGCCTTGACGCGCGGCCAACACTCCGCATACCGCAAAGGCACCAACTCAGCCGAAGCGCCCACCAACAAATCGACATTATCGCACGCACGCTGCTGCCGACCCCAGACATCAACGCCTTTGCGCCGCGCGACTACGCGGCGGAGGCGCCGGACCGCAGCGCCTGCCTGGACGCCGGCACTGGCGGTGCAGCAAAGCGCGCGCGGCGCCAGCCCGATGCAGCCCGGGAACCCATCCGCGCTGCGCAGTCTGACGCGGGCTTGGAGTTGAGGTGCGCGCGATGCAGCCTCCTGCACGGCGGGGCGCGGCAAACACAAGGAAGTATGCATTCGGCAGGCGCGCAGCCATGCATATCGGCTCCAAACCAATGCCGTCATGGTTGGCGCACACTGACGTCTTAATCGCCTCCGCGGCGCCGCCACGATGCACAAGGCCATACCTCTGCCCAGACGGGACGACCGGCTACCGCACCACCCGCGGCTGGTACCGCCGCAGCGACCGCAACGGCTGGCGGCCCGCGGCCCCCCACCTGCTGTTCGACCCAGAGCAGCGGGCCGCGCTGGGGCTGAACGGCGGCGCCGCCAGCGGCAGCGGCGGGTGCGGTTGGGGCACGAGCGGGGCGATGCAGCTGCGGTGCCGCCACGATCGCAAGCAGAGGCGGCGGCGGCGCCCGAGGCTGGCATCAACAAGCAGATGCGTGATTGGTGAAACTGACGGCTGCGAAAGCGGTCGTGATTTGGAGATGGGAGGGCGCGTGAATCACAGCAGCAAGAAGGCGCGCAGTGCGCCTGTGACGCACCACAGCCCCCTGGTTAGGAGGTGGGTAGTGTGTTGCGCAGACGCCGCGAAGCGTGCTGCAGCCTTGTCTGCTCTTGATTGGCGGCATGACTGTGGGATGGTGGGAAGTGTGCGGGGGTTCTGCCCTCTGGCAAAGCGCTTCTAGCAATGGGAAGAGCATAGGGCACGTGCATAGAGTGGTTGAGTGCGCTGGGCCATAACAGCAAATCGCCGCCAACCTCTGCCGCAGGGAGGAGCGTGCTCGGCGCGCGAAGCAGCGACGACGGGCGTGGCTGCTTCAGCTCTACAGACAGGGGCGCGTCGAGGTCAGCGCAGCGCACGCCGCTGGCAGTGGTGAAGCGGCTGCAGCTGCAGTCAGGGACGGCAGTGACTTAGCCTTCGCCAAGCCGCACCCAGCAGCGTCGCAGCGCTTCACTGGCAGGGGCGCCCGCATGCAGGGGGTGGATGCGGCGGTGGCAGCAGTAGCAAAGGTTGAGGCGGTTGATGCAGAGGAGGTATTGCTGGCTGACCTGGAGCGAAGGTTGCAGTGTCTGGACAAGAGGCGCCAGGTTGTGGCCTGCCCACATGATGGCAGCGGTGGTGGCAGCAGTGTCGTCAAATGCAGCGGCGGCAGCGACGAAATCCCTGGGCGCAGGCAGAAGGGCACCAGGCAGGACAGCGAGGACGGCAGCGCGCTGCTGACGTGGTGCCAAGCCCTGGACTTTGAGGCGTACACGGCCAGCTGGGCCGCCGCAGCGTGCAGCTTGGGGTCGGAGGCGGCGGCGGAGGGCCTGCTGGTGGAGAGGGCGCTGCTCGCGCACCTGGCGGCGGCGCAGCAGCAAGGGGAGGCCATTTGCGGCGGCGACGCGCTAGTTGCACGCGCACAAAAGTAAAGCACGCTTCTGTTGGGACTGTTGCAGATACATTGTCGTCATTGCATTGCTTCACGATACCCTGGGAGGTCGGTAAGACAAAACAACCACAGACAGCAGGAGTCATAAAAGCTCTGGCTGTGGGATGCCGTCTAATGAACACCGTTGGAAGGAAACACCACGGATGTCTGGTCGCCGTAAGATGGCCGAGCACTGCTCTGGCAGAGCGTCACTGGCGCGGCGCCCCGAGGTTGCACAGCAGGGGCTGTAGGCAGTGACATCACCAGGACGAAGCCACCTTCCTCCTGGAGGCCCGCTTGAACAGCCGACACCCGCACAGCCTGCCCTCACTGATCCAGGGGCCATCACTGCCCAGCAATGACACGTGATCAGCTGCCGTCACCCGCAGGCTCGATCACCGTCTTTCTTTAGGCCGCAAGGTTGCCAACAGCTCGCATGACTCCTAGAGTCCCCTGCACATGCGGGCAAGGGTCCTTGGTAGGATCGCCTTCACACCATCTTTCCGCACGGCTGCAGCCGGTGCTTGCAGCTGGCATCTTGACAGTCTCTTTGCACTGACTCTGCACGGTTGACTGCGCAGCAGCGCGACTCAGTGACTGCCAAACTGCCATGACTATCATCGCACCTGGGTGGTCTGGCTCATGCTTTTACCGGCCTTCTTTTACCAGCATTCATGGAACATTGTCTTTGCTATCAGTGGCAACGTGGTTGAGCAGGCGAGCCAAGAGGCGGCAACGTGCACCCCTGTCATACGGTAGTCACAAACAGAGCGGGCGAGGTTTTCATTGTCGTAAACGGAGCAAGACCACTTCGGGCAGCTCCCTCGGTGTGAGCGCTGTGTTGCCAGAAGGCAAGCTCGAGTTGCGACCTGCGAGGTAGGCGCGTGCCTGGCTCAGACATGCCGAGCATGCCCCTGTGAATACCCTGTTACACCGTCTGAGGTACTTCGACTTGCAGTCGCAGTAGCAGGCGTGTCTTCAGGGTTGCTTAGTCGTGTTGAGGTGATGCCATGCACTGGTGGGCGGCAACGACCATCTGGTATCCCAGGTCGAACAGGTTTTGTCCTGCTGTTCTCACTCCAGTTGCACCTGCTTGCGAGCGCCAGGCAGCATGAGATTTGCTGACGTGGAAGGGCTGAGGACCTGGTTGGAAAGCACTGAGGAAGGCTACGGGGAGTACGCTGCGCGGCTGTGGGCGAGCGGAGGGAACAATGTTCGTCAGTTGGCGAATGGCAGTGTGGAGGACCTCATGGACGCTGGCATCACCAACCGTTTGCATGCCATAGACATCAAGTTGGTCGCAGGTGACAACGCGGTCTTGACTGCTTGGACCATTCCGTTGATGCTTTGCATTCATGGTGCAGTCAGTTCCTTGCCGTGTCCACCATCGAAGCTGTAGCAGCCTTTGCCAGCCAAATTTGGTGTTTGTACAGGTTGTATGGTGCAGCAGTAATTGTAAGACAGGTTGCTATTGCTGCTGTCTTGGATGGCCCAAAACCGTATTGCACTTACTGCATGCTGCATGCTGCCCTCGCCCCAGCTTCCGCCACGTTACTCTGTGCTCTGCTCCCTTGCTGACGTCCTGCAAATGTGCTGCATTTTGCCGTTCCAATGGAATCAATTGATCTGCACAATACTGTCCAAGTGCAGCGGACGCAGCAGCGGGTGAGGCATGTGTGTTGCAATGACCGGATTGTGCTCGGGCTCCGCGGGGTTTGCCACAGCAAGTGGGGGTGAAGGGGGAAGATGGTCTGGGCTAGACTTGTACAAAAGACCCAGTCGCTCGGAGCATGTGTTGGCGCAGTCCACAGCGCGCAAAATGGACCAACATACACCTGCTGCTTGTCTTACGCAATATGAAAGCCGTGGCGCGTCGTCCGACCTGCTCGCAGCGGGCTGGCGTACCACTGTCACGGCATGAGGCATGCGTGGGTGGTTCCATTGTGTGTTTGTTGTGCTTTGTGCCTCATTCTCCGCATGTAAGACCTTCTAACAGCCTGGCTGCACCCCCCATGTGCCTGTCATGGCTTCCGCATGGGTTTCCCCCGTCGTCCCACACCACCAGCCGGTGAGTCATACATTGCGTTCCGTCAATGCTTGTGATCCTGCCAAGCAACCCTCTGCCCTCACTCCAATCCCTGGTTGTAGCCTAGCCAACGCGTTGCTGCCTAGGCGCGTACGGCAGCAATCGCGTGAACTTCCCGCATGGATTCAGCCTGAGTCAACGTACACACCAATTCATCACCTGGGGGAACGGGCTGTGCATGCATGTTGGAATTACTTCAATGCTTGCACGACTCAATTGTAGCATCAACAAACAAACAAACTAGCCAGCAAGCAACAACCTGTGCGACTGGCCGTGCTGTGCTTGGCGTTCCCCAGCTACACTGCACCAGCAGGAACAGCGCATGGAGCGACTTGTGGAGCAGCACCGCCAGCTTCTGGAGCAGCAGCAGCAGCTGGAAGAGAAGCTGGAAAAGTCGGGCGTGTTGCAGGATGTCTTCCTGCAAGTGCTGGACTACTCAGAGGAGGTTATCAGCACTGCGCCCAGCAGAGTGGGCTTCAAGCAGCAGCTGGTAGACACGTACAGCGAGCAGCGCACCGGCGCAGCCGGCGATGCCATCTTGTGCATGGTCACCAACCAGTACCTCCCCGAGAGGTTCGTCATCGGCACACACCTCTGGAAGCGGGCCTGGCACAAGTGAGTGGCTTGCACGACATGCCTTGAGGCCGACATGCATTGCCGAGCAGAGTCACATCCTGTTTACTCTGTTGGACGGAGCGTCGTCGGTGTTGTGGTGTTTGTGCATGTGGTGGCTCCAGCATGTGACGGTGAGAATGGCTTCGAGCTCAGCAACATAGACTGTATTTGCGAGCTGCACAGCAGATGTATGCTTGGCCCTTTACTTGCATAGCACATGGATCACATTGTTTGAACATGTAGCCGTCATCCACTAACGCACGTGCATGCTGACCTGTGCAGGCTCATGTGGGTGCTGGACCTGGCTGGACAGATCGATGACGTCAGGAACGGGCTGCTGCTGTTCAAGCCCATTGCGTGGGCTTTCAACACATCTCGGATCTGCTTCGAGTGGGACACGGAGGAGCAGCGGTACGCGCCGCACCTGCTGGACGCCCGCCTCAAGGAGACGACGCTCATTGACAAGCTGCTGGAGCTGAACGCCGAGGTAGGGGC